ACTCAGAGATTTATATTTTGAGTGGAATAGTGTGGTAGGTAATGGCTTTTGCCCCAAAAAGCACCTAAAATTACGACTTTATTAACATAAAAGTTAGTTATTGCAAATCTTGTCAAAGCCAATTGTGACCTCTCTCTTACAAACAAAATAATTTTGAGGAATTTTTCTGCATTTTGTAGTTGACATAGTGTATCCAAGAACATAACAGCCAAGATATGTTACACACAAACCACGTGGATGTATCTCATGCTTGACCGAAATTTATTGATACAATAGGGTTCGTAGGTAGCATGTTCTGTTGCAATTCAAGACACGGGTATATTCAGTCGAACGAAAGTCGAATTGATTCTTGACTAGTAAATAATTCAAGTTAAGTAATTCAATTCATTAAGCGCATCACCTGATTTATGTCAAATGTATATGTTGTGGTAGGCTTGACTGCGATATAAGCCAAAGCTATTCATTTGCATGCCACAAGCATCCATTTGCGAGAAAATATGCACATGCATAAAGATTGTGTTGTCTGAAGTGACCCGTTTGAAACTCCAAACCTAAGAGCCTGCTTCAATCATCCCACATAGCTTTCATAAATTCATTGATATCTTCACTTTCTAGACGCTAGAGTATAGATTTCGCGAACGGAATGTATCATCCTCATCTCGCCAAATATCTTCTGACGACATTTTACAATTTCTGTTTCTCTGGCGTGGATGATTTTACTGAAGTGGACGAGAAACCAACAACTGCGACTACGATCGAGTGGAAGAGCCCTAAACAGCTAGATTATAGGAGGAACACGTCAAACTTAGATTTCATACTATCCAGGATGAGAAGCATCAAATGTACCAGGATTTGTGAATAGACCGTCACCCTGTCAACTACGTACTGAGGTATATTTGGCATACTGGACATTGGGGCTTTGTTCAAAGGAGTAAGATTTCAAGAACAGAAAACAGCCTCTCGTTAAGGATCATTTTGCACGAAGCACCGCCTCCCCTCCTTGTGGGTCAAACTAATCGGTTGGGTCTGTGCAAAAAGGCCATTCAAGCCAGCCTCTTACTTTCGCTTAAGCGATGGAACAAAACACTGGTTACCAGATTTTTTATATCTTTGTCATCTACATATACTTTCCGTACCTTGCCCGTTTGATATCGGTGGACTAATAGATAAAAAGTCCATAGTAATGATTAGAATGATGTCAATTAATTACACGACACATTGTTTTAACTTAATTTCATCGATTCGTCTTGAAAACCTAATCAGATTTCAGCACTAAACGTTTAGTGAGAGCACTGAATGGCTGTTCATCATCCCTTCTATTTTTCTCTCGATACGATTGAGAAAAACAACGCAAAACAAACGATTACAAGTAACGCTTCGTATACCATCTGATATTCTTCGGGGATCAAAATGTTTAACTAGACATTTGAAAAAACATCTGTTATTAAAGCTTCCCCTAAAATTGTGAACGATCACAGTAGATTTATCGGTCGAACCAGTCAATCACCGGTAAATGTGTATGTGACCGGCAGTTTATTTTCCATCGGATCGATGTATTCACCTACGGCATCTTAAGAAAAATAAATGAATACACAATATGCCTCCGTTCGGTCACGCCATTCTGTGAGCCCGAGTCACGTATCTATATAAAACACTTCTCACCACCGAAGGGGATTATCGATTTTGTTCTCTTTGTAGCTTTATGCTCTCGTCCAGCGAACATCGCAGGGTGTCTACCGACCGTTGATACGAGACTTCTTTTATTTATGGCAATGATGAGAATCTTGTTTTAAATGACGAAATTGTGCTTGCATATTCCTTTTCGAAGCTTTGAATGTTGCAATCCAAAGGCAGTCGATACTTTTCTAACGGTCAATTCACCTTCATTGAGAATGGATCTCATAAAGGTATAGTTCCAGTTATTTCTTCTATATTTTTACACTCGGAAACAGTTAGTTTCGTCATACGATGAATGTGTTGTGGTGCATACAGACTATAAACGATGTGGAACTAAAAGCTAGGAAATAATAAACAAATGTCTCGGCCTTGGTGGGTTTCATGAACCGTGTGACTTCATCGACTAAGTTTGAGCCGCGAATACTCCTTATAACAAGAGGTTATGCAAGACATATTTTCAACCGGCGCTTTCCGGGTTGCGGTTCTTTTGCCTTGGATAGGATGAATTTCATCCTGAAGTGGAATCGAATCCTCTACTACTTCCTTGAAACAAGTAGTCAACTTTGGATTTTTTCGAAACAGGACAGAAAAAACATCTGTTAGAACGACTTTGGAGCTTCAATTGCACGATTGCTAGTCAATATAGCCGTTTTGGGCATCAAATTAAACCACTATATTTGTACATAAAAAAGACACCACAGTCGATTTGGATTTTTCCATAAGATGGTTGAAAATCCACTGTAACTGACACTACTTATTGTTATTGTGAATTATATTCGCCAGACAAGAAGTGTTTCCGCTTGTATCTATCCAAATTTAGTCAGAGTGTGTGTGAAACGGAGTGGTGGCCTAATCCTGAATTAAATGCTATAGGCTCGTATAACTCAAGAAACAATGTTTGTGACACAATATATGGCTCTCTTGGCAGTCGAAACATGTCGCTCCGTTCACAACATGGCAATGCTTGCTAACTTTGTTGTGGTTTGTGGTTGTTGTTTGTGGTTAATAAACAGGGGTCTTGGCGGTGAGGTAGTTTTAGACACATTATTGAGAAAGTCGCTGTACACCCCGAAAGGAGTATTGTTCGGGGACAACCATACAAATGAATGAAAACCTAACGCAGCTGATAGGCTAGAACCTGGATTCAAGCAAGGCAGTTGATGCCAATCCAATCAACCAGTAATCGTACAAATATATTTTTATGCCTTCTATTTTGTCCATATATAAGCCCACGTTCTATTCAATGAATGGAACGCTATGTCTTCCTTCAAAACGTGTGGAAGTGCGTTCTTGTTATTGGGATATTATTATTCGATAATGCATAATATAGTTAATTTCTGGTAAACAGCACTCTCTGACTTGTTCTGAGCTTTGAGGCACGCGACTTTATCCCTGACACCAAAACTCAACTGAAATAGTAAATAGTTTCGTTCTTGTCCGCTTCAGTGTCCCCTTGCACTACGGGCATCTTGTGTGTTTCATCGCTCCTTGTTCTGAGGCTAGAGATGCTGGCTATCGGAAGAGAGTAATCGATTGGGGTTAACTCAAAGTTCCATCTTGGTTGGTCAGAGTGAAAGGGATACGGTGATGGCCAAGTGATTAGGTCAACAACTTGTGATCTGTGGGTAAAGGGTTTGAACCGCTCCATCGTTGCCCATCTTTCCAGGCAGCCTTTGTATGGCCGCGGCCCCCCCCCCTTCCTGAATGTGGACTGTGCATTTGTATCTTCAATAAATGAAAAAAGGAAGTAAAAAAGCATTTATTTATCATTTATTATTATTATTTATTTATTTAAGTTACGTGTGTATAACGTGTGAGCATTTAGATGCAGCCCAAAAATATCATCGTGAAGTTTGTCCTTGTGAGGTGGAAAAAAAATGAAGTGAATTATTTTATTCATAGAGAGTGAAAGGTTGTGCTGTAGTGGATGTAGAGTGCGAGTTTTACGTTTTTATAAGCAGTCTCACTTTTCGATTAGCTTATTCATTTAGAAATGTGCAATCAATTGAAATTCGACTTGCTATTCTTGAATTCACATAATTTAACCGGTCGAGGTAAACCGATTACTCGTCTGCGTTTTGTAAACTTTATACTTTTCCACATTTGTCAGTTAAATCTGCCCCCAGAAAACCCACATCTGTGAGCATGACTTGATAGGTTAACCATCGGTCTTTGTTATATGTGATGTTTTGCAACGCTGCCGTGTCTCTCCTTAGGATTGATAAATATTCTTATTTAAACACCGTCATTTGACGACAGAGTCAGCAGTAGAGATCTGTCCACTTATTCCCTCCTCTGTTCACTGTCAAAGTCTGTGGGCCACCAAATATCCCTCCTCTCCCCCCTCCCCCCAGATTCGGTTTCTGAAGCCATCAACACAAATTATGGGATCCATTTACACGACCTGCTTCCTCGTCAGTCACGTGACAGATTCACATCCGTCTAGATTTTGAATTGGTGAAACAGTCAGCTGACTATATAGTGCTGTCAAATCAAATGAACACAAGCTTAACATTATTGATTCAAATTAATGTAATAAATACTGTAAGTTTGCTTGCTTATTCTCGAAGATTTCGAAGACACGAATTGTTTGCCCGAGCACCGATGCAATCCATTCATTAAAGCTAAAATGTGCGGCAACCATATTCATACAAAGACACTAGAATGGAGTATAGGATTATCTTGATTTGGACTCCAGGATTTGTATAAAGGAAAACAACGAAAGCAGCAATTAAATAAACAATGCTGTCGAGTTACAACTGAAAAACTCCTCTTAGTTTACTTTTCATATGTATAATCGATCGTTTCTACCAACAAAATGATACCAAGTGTTAATTTGGTCAAACCTTATTTCATAGAACTGGGAGGCAGAAAAGAGGACCAATAACGTCTGGAAGGCAATGACGGTTTGGGAAGGAAGAGAGAATGGCGGCAGCAGTTCTTGTGGTTATCAACAGTTGAATGTATCAACGAACTCAGTGATTTTGTCCCTAGTATAATGTACAATGAACTCGTAAAGGAAAATGTGGTTTGTGTAAATGGCATCAAGCCACCGCACGATTAAGCAGCATGTATCTGGTGGCGGAACGGAAAATGAATGATAAGACCAAAGCTAGGGCACAGCTACCGAAATTGCATCAGTTGCAAACAGTTCTCGCCGATTGAATGAATAGTCCCGATTATGGTCACTTGAACAGGGAATAAGAACGAAACAGTAGGGTTGCACACCATCTGTTGGCCACGGGGATTATAATGCACAGGGATTTCCGGTTGGGATTGAACCAAATTCTCAACAGTTTTAATTACATAGATCAATAAATCGATCAATCAACAGTATCATACGGATACTGCCAGTCCGGGTCGATCAGAATGAGTTGTTCGATTTCTGTGAGCAAATCTGTATAACATTTGCGCACACACAAAGCGAGCTCTCGTTCACACTCTGCCTCGCATCTTCCATCACCTTGACATGTGTATTCGCATTCCATGGCCGGGTAACGACAGATTTGAGCACAATTATTCAACTCAAGAAGTTTTGAGCGCTGCACGCCCGGTGGTGTGGGTGGGCACAGCACAAACGAGAGCAGAGCAGTGAAAAAAACTGATGCTTGCATTTGCATTGTCGATATTTTTTAACCTAGAAAATAGAAAGTTACACGGAGAGTGGGTGAGACAGAGTGATCAAATGCAGCAATGAACTTCAAAATATTGAATAATTTATTTTCTCCTACCGAATAGTTTCTGTCGTTAGTTCTGGTTTCCGTGACCGAACAATTTGTACGGGAGACTGCGAAATGTTATATTCTTTGGTAACTGCTGTGTCCCGGTTAATTAGGTAAATAAACAAGCAGAGAATTAGACAGCACATTTACCGTGGTAGGCACACGTGTAGACGGTTCGTAGGCTGGTGAGCAAGCGCAAGCGGAAATCACGTGATCACGTAGGCAGGCAGGCCGACAACTGGCTCAAGCGTCACACCACATCCGAATGTCGTCAATCCGGTATTCAAACAGTCAATAAATCCAACAACGTGGACAATTCAATACTAACACCTGACTGGCTGGAGCCGATCAACATTACAATAGAGTCTGACCGCGTGGCGTGAGTGCGCGTGTGGTAGCAGGCAACATCTGTCATTGAATCGATCACTCAACCAATCAATCCGGCCACAGGCATGCACGACAAAAGTATCAGTCAATCGTGAACCACAACAACAACAACTAAGTTTCAATTTGAGGGAAAAATCAAATCACCAACATTCATCTGCTTATTAGCATTGCTAACGTTACTTTAATAAACGTGAATAGCCTAAAATGACGTTATCTAAAATTGCACTCGAAATAAGTCCGAAGATCAGTTAAGCACACCTCGATTGTATTTTTTGGTAAATTTAATAGACTGCAAGTTACTCTATTACTTTAATTCAAAGATTTGAGCATTAGCACAACTATTGATATCTTAACGAGAATAAGTTAGCCAATGTACCAAGACCGGTTATCGATACCAAGTGAAGAGCAAGGTACCGTCGACTTAAAATGGGCTAAACCTTTCAATGCATGCACAGTCAGATTAAGTCCTATCAATGTGATAAGCTTCTTGCGAATGCCTTTTATTCTCAACCGGACAGTTCCAGTAGCAAAAATAAAGCAACAACTGTTTACTGTTCTTTTAGTTGACCTTCCCATGAAAACTTCATCAGATGTTAAATACATTTAGCGGGGTGTAGCTCTAAAAAGTGCAAATACATGTGCGAATTTATACGGGCCATGTGTTTCTCTTCGTGCCGGTGAAATCCAATGGGCTCGTCCTGACACAACATAGTTAGATGCCCCAAATGTTTCCAAGATAAATCAGCAGAAGTGACCAAAAACAATTCCCTGTAATCGGTTGAATAGTAAAAGATTTTTCTGGTGACTTTTAGTCTAACAATTTATTGCTTTCGGTGAAAATCTCACCAATCGAGTTAGTGATAATACACAACAGAATTCTGGTTGGTGAAACGGTTGTTTAGCAGAGTGAAGTATTATATTGAAATCATGAATAGTTCAGTAACCACGGTGAGATTCGAACCACATGTCTCTAAAAGTTGGATAGGTGATTCGAAAGTGAAAAAATCAATACTATCCGTGTGGTCTCGTAGCTCAGCTGGTAGAGCGTGCGCTACACAAAAGCGTAGGCAGCGTCCATGTGTAAGTTCGAATCCCATCGACACCATTGAACTTTTCACAACTCAAGCATAAGAATGCGAGCTGGCTTACTGAATCACTGTTTGATGAAAGTGCTACTGTTACACGAAATCGACTGTTTGGGAGAACCGTTGTTCTATCAAATTCAGTATACTGATTGATGTGGGAGAGAGCTACAGTGTCTTGAATCGGGGATATGAAAACCTGTATGAGACAATCGATAAAATCGTCAAGGTCAGAATTACTGGAATGTACCAATGGAATGCACTCAAAATCTCAAAGTACATCTACATCTATTTGACATTGTTGCTTCTTTCTCAAGAAAAAGATCACTACAATTCGCAGAATTGTCCAGGACTGTCATATGACATCATAAACGGGGCTTGTGACTGCAATATATGAAAATGACATGTAGTCTAGTATACGTAATGGTGCGCTTAGTCACTCGGAGACCTCTCACCACGAAATAACTTAACTGAGTCGGATCTGAAGTATGTTGATTAGGGCCTGACGAAACATCAATGTTGGTTGAATTAAGTACATTTCGACGGAAATGCACCACAACAATCGGAAACATCTTCAGTAATACATCTCCTCCACTACCTAGTGTAATAAATTTCCTTTTTAATTGCTCTACCTCTAGAGTTGCTAGGATGACGTAATTATCGGGAGGAATAAATTTTTTGACTATGCTTATATAAGCTGATAGATTTCCACAGGCAAGTGGCACCTTTTCCGATCCCAATCTGATGAAGTTGTGAGCTTCACTTCGTGTTAGGTCATTTCCTCCCCACTCGTGAAATTGATTTTAGTTGCAACAGAAGTAGAATATGTTATGACCGACCAAGAACGCTGGACGGCTATTTCGTTCTGTTACAGCCTCTTTAGCAGTGCGTACTGTTTCTGTGCCTGACACTTGAACCACGGGCCTTCGGGTTAGGTGGTAAAACTCTCACCAGTTATACACTTATACACTGACAGCTCGTATAACTGTTCGCGTGAATTCTATTATTTACAAGTTTCCATTCATTCCAGAGCACATATGATGAATTTTATATTTTCCCAGTTTGTTATTATTTATATTATTTTATTGATAGAGAAAATTATGAATTATTTGGGGATCTACAAATCAAAGGATCTATGCACCTAGGCCCTACTGGTATCGGCCTTCACCGAGTAGCTCAAAAAAGAATTTTAGCTTATCACCAGAAGATTCACTTCTGTGATTCCAGTAGGGCCATTGTTAATTGGTTCTCTCATCAGCAGTGCGAATCCATGAGACCCAACCAGGTCAAAACAGCTGTCCAGTGCTTCGTAACTTTTCAGTTCGCGCTTCATTTGACATATACACGACAAATTTTCTCTTTAAATCAAATCCTCCATTACCCACGTGGAATATCTGATGCTCTTTGATGGCCAATGTACTCGATTTTATAGCAAAAACAAACATCCTATTCGTTAGTGGAGCCTGAGACGTTCGTCAGGAAACGCGTCTTCAGATAAGCCGCTAAACGCAACAACTTGATCACTCAAAATGGCCGAAATATTCTAATTTGGTGAAGAAGGTGTGGAGGAAGGTGCAAAACAGTTCGTATGGCAGGAAATGCAACGAATATTCTAAATATTATTATCTTCATCAATCTGAATAGTAATCGTCGAAGTACACTAAAACATGTTACATTATTGCCGAAATTATGCTGGGCTGTATGGAGAGGCAAGGAAGACATTGAGAAAACCTACTCATCACCTGTAGCAGTAGGTGTTACTAGAGTGTGTATTCCAATATTAGGACAATGTTTTCGAATAAGAAACTGTCTTTTATTGCTTAAAAATACAAATGATATTTTGGTACTTTTGTCGACTGCTTTGTATGCGCAATCCAATTGCAAGAAGACGTAAGACAAATGCTATTCTTTTTGACTCAGCAAACTTCTCTCATTGTCTGTATTCGTTTAAAATGGAGTCCATTGAAGTTTTGTGAATCGGTGCTAAACAATCTCTCTTGGTGGTGGTAGAAAACAACGCCATGTTGTAAAACAAAACTGGCATGTTTAATATTTGTTTGGTGGTTCCCGTTGTGAGCGGCAAAACCCAACACAACACGAATACATCCAACGCGTTCAAAAGCGTATACTGGCTACAATTGAATGGCCGGTCCCAACAGATAATTATTGAATAAAGCGCACATTTAAAATTCTAAAACCTATCGATAGAACTCGTTAATAGCATTGTATTTTGAAAACACCAAAGCAGGTGGGTTTAATACTAATCGGGTTATACTTGATTATGCAGAGTAGTACGTGTGCTTATATTCCATATTTTGATGCAATTTTGTGGTTGTACGCATAGCGTACGAACAATCAAGGAAAACTGTTTTTCTCGATGGGTTGAAGAAAAGTAATATTTAGCCACCGCCGGGTCGTAATCGAGATCGGCTTTCCGGTGGTGTCAAATATAACCACTAAGCGTTTCCAGAGCAAAAATTACGACATGATTACAGGTCAGTTTCTCACATCAGGGGGTGGAGGCAGTGCAACACTGGAGTGCACCCCGATTTCTGAACCGGCACTTAATCTGCACCCAATAACGTGAATACTGGGGGCGTGGACCCCTCTTGCAATTCATGGTCGGCTAAAGTCGCTTTGTTGCAGCTGCACAGGAAATGATCACGTGAATATCATTTACTTAAGTCAACCTTCCTCTTGATTGTACCTAATCCGTTCACACGAATTGGATAGGGGTGCAGAAAGAGCAGAATAAACCAGTTTGTATAAAACTAAATTTGTATACACGTGGACGACAGAATCGGCAGTAATTTTGATGATCTCATCACGTGACCCAAAAATTAACCATCAACACAAGAAAAGAAATACGGAAACATATTGAAAACAGATTTTTTCTCAAAACCAGAACAAGGTTCGTGATTATCATAACACGTTTGGGATACGAGTATGATACAAATTTTCAAACTACGAAATATATTTGCTCTATTTACATGAACAGTACATTGTGCAAAATAATACTGAGGTAAGTTAAACTTCGTGACTAAACTCTAGGCCATCAGTGGAATGCGAGCAACTATGTAACCACGAAGCACCTAATATCAAAGATTGAACATGTGATATTCTTGTTCAAGCCACTGGATGGGAGATTTCTTTCTTTGAACGAACTCGTGTGAATATGCTGTAACGTAGCAATTGTATGATTTTCGAATCGGTTTATTCAGGCCGCGCATGTATCATCGCTCGTCAACTGCAACAAAATTCCAGGGGAAAGCCAAATTTGAGACACGAGGCAAAAAAGCCTACCGTTTTCGCCTAGATCATTTGGATGCCTTTCGATTCAAATTTAATAGATGTACGTTAACACAATCTGATTTTAGCCACCCCATCCCATTCCCCCTTTCAGTCATCATGCTTGATGTAAAAATTTAG